AGCAAGAAAGCTGCTACCCCTGCAGCTTTAAGCAGAGTTAGCCTCAAACTGCCAGGCGCATGGTCGATATTACGGGGAGGTGCTTGGGCAACAGCCATTAGTTAGCTGGGGTCTCCTCCCTGCGGATCGCAGCCCTGGTGCAGCCAGCCGGCGGAAAGCGCCTGACGTCTGCAGGAGGGTCAGTGGAGAAGGGGAGCTGAGGGAGCAGCAGAAGGCAGAGGCCTTGTAGGCAGGGGAGATCTCCAATAGCCCTACCCTAGACTCCAGTGGTTTTGGGGCAGGTCGCTCAGGGCCAGGTTTTTACTGGTATTTAGGTACCTGAAAATCCAGGTTGGCACCCAGCGAGCTTTTCCAAAGTACTTAAAGCGCCTCCGTTTCCCCTCTGTGCAGCAGCCTGTCCACACAGGGCTGTGTGAGGGTAAATCCATTGCAGACCGAGCTAAATGGGCCATCAATAGTGTCAAGCCGTCTGGAAATGACCGATGAGCACGAGCACCAAGCTCAGGGCAGGCTGTTAAGAACCAGGCACAACCTCCAGATGGGCTGTGAGTTCTGTATTTAGCTTTCACCAGCGTGTTACCAAGTGTAAACTCCTCTGGCACTTAGCATGGAGTCACAGAGTCCCCGTGGGCACCCCGGTCTGTCTCACCACCCAGGGGAGCCTCCCTTGGGATAGATGGTCCCTTACATCAAGGATCACAGTGATATTCAGGTTACTCCCTGTCCCAATGGGCCAGTCACTTACTCCAGGTCGGGGTGGCCAACCTGAGCCTGAGACGGAGCCAGAAATTTACCAATGTACATTGCCAAAGAGCCACAGTAATGTGTCAGCAGCCCCCCTTCCCCACTCCCACCCACCAGCAGCCCCGCTGATCAGCGCCTCCCCCTCCCTCCCAATCAGCTGTTTCGTGGCATGCAGGAGGCTCTGGGGGAGGGGGAGGAGTGAGGGCACAGCAGGCTCGGGGGCGGGGGCGGGAAGGGGTGGAGTGGGGGCAGGGCCCGTGGCAGAGCCAGGGGCTGAGAGTGACACCCCCCCCCCGCCGGCACATTGGAAAGTTGGTGCCTGTAGCTCCAGCCCCAGAGTCGGTGCCTGTACGAGGAGCCGCATATTAACTTCTGAAGAGCCGCATGCGGCTCCGGAGCCACAGGTTGGCCACCCCTGCTCCAGGTCAATCGCACTTTCTATCTCACACCAAAGCCAGCGCTTGTAGCCAATCCTATGAGATTTATTATCTCATAAATCCTAAAGCTTTATTAACTAGGAAAAGGAAAGGAGAGTTATGTACAAGGTTAAAACAGGAAAAGACACACCACATACGTGAGCTGCAGTCTTAAGTTTCAAAAGGTAATAGTAGCTTCTATAATAAGCAAGCTCTCTATGTCTTTTAGGGCTACCCCAGGCTAAGCCCTGGGGATCTTTTGCTTATGCCTAGTAATCCTGGCCCCCCAGAGTCCAAGCAGCATAAAAATCCAGTTCTTCCTTGTTAGGGGCTTTGATATCCTTCCCCCGTTCGGCTTGGAGCTGCAATGTTTGCCTATGGGAGGAGTTCCCTTGCAAGACTCATCTTCCTGGGCGTGGGGAGAGAGTAAACAACGGTCCTTTGTCCTCTTTAACGGCCCACTTTAGTCCGTCTGGCATCGGTGGGCCTGCCTTGTCGGGCAGGACGTGACGCCGTCTGTTGAGACCACACGTCCCACTCATTAACGTCTCTCTCCTGTCTGGTGATTGACCCAGTCCCAGAGCCGTACACTGCAGACACTCAAATGCAGAATTGCAGCATGGGATGCAGATGTTATATGTGAGATTAATGCCGGCGGCCACTCGCAAGCATTCAGTAACGTTCTTATCACTCTCGTACCGCGTTAGCAATGCCAGCACGCAGCTGAGCCAGCCGGAGTCCAGCTCCGTATATATCAGCGCCCCACTGGGGCATGGGGACCTTGGCCTGGGCTGCCAGCAACACAGAGAGCTATCGGGGCTGCTTGTTTGTAGGATCCAGGGGTGTATTTGGGGAAGCCCCGCAGAACCTCTGAGGAGAAGGGAGTGTCGACACCGAGGGGTTTAATGAGGCCTCACGGGGTGAAAGGACTTGCTCAAGGTGATAGATTGTTTCAAGCCGGTCGCGGAGCTGAGATTAGAAGTTGGGCCTGTGCTTGGAGCCATTACTTCTGCTGCGGGGCCTGACTACCCCTTTGTCTCCCTGCTCCGAGGTCCTGAGTCTACCATCCTACTGGCTGAGATCCAGCCCTCGCGACCAAGGGGCTGGATGTTTCCAGGCACGAAGCGTCACTGCCACGTCTCCTTCATCGGCCCAGCCGGTAGCTCTCAAGGGGATTAATATGGAAATAGACCTTTCAGACTAATTAACAGCTGTGGAAATGAAGGCAGCCATCCAGCCTAGGGAACCCGAGAGCTGCTTGAAATGCCGGCTGGAGCTTTGCGTTACTTGGGAGGACGGGAGGCGGGCGGGTTGGCTGCCGTCCCAATCCAGACCTGGGCTCCAGGGGTTGGCAGCCGTATTTCAAACCTGCACCCCCTGAATCCCAACTTCTGGGAGGTCCCCAGCTCAGGAAAGCGCTGACAGTCAGCGAGACTTACGCAGGTCCTGACGTACTGGCCTGAAGCATGGCCCTCGAGCCCGAGGTCAGATGACGGGGAATTGTTCTAAAAGTCTAAATCGGATGCTGGCGTCGGGGGTTATTTTTGCTGTGAACGAATTGGTCTCAACTGGCCAGGGTAAACTGAGGCAGGAAATTAGAAGGTTTCTAACCATCAGAGGAGGGAGGTTCTGGAGCGCTCCTCCCCCCCCCATAGGTGTGGCAGAGTGCGACAGGTGTACTGTTAATTCCATAGGGTTTAAAACTTCCCTGCCTGTCCGGATGCTGTGAAATGCTCCGTGTGGGCACAGCGCCCCTGCCCTGCTGCCAGACGCACCCGGCACCCCCGGGCACAGCGCCCCTGCCCTACTGCCGGACGCACCTCGGCACCCCCGGGCACAGCGCCCCTGCCCTGCTGCCGGACGCACCTGGCACAGCGCCCCTGCCCTGCTGCCAGACGCACCCGGCACCTACGGGCACAGCGCCCCTGCCCTGCTGCCAGACGCACCCGGCACCCCCCGGGCACAGCGCCCCTGCCCTGCTGCCGGACGCACCCAGCACCCACCGGGCACAGGACCCCACAGCAGATTTCCATGGGTTGAATCCTGGCTGAATCCAGCTGCCCCCTGCGCCCCGCGATGTGTCTCTGGGTGCACCCGAGTGCCGCGGGAGGAAGCCAGTTCCCCCAGTGAGACAAACCCCCAGCGAGCTGCATGTACAGCCGGCCCAACCACAGCAGGGGAGACTTAATTGCAAAGCTCGTTAATGTCTGAGAAGATCATTAGAGGTGAAATCACACAGCAATGCGGGGAGCTTAGGGTGCCAGGTTACTGCTCCAGTCATGGTGAGCTGAGGATTCGTTCGGTTTGGGGCTGTGGTGGGGGGGCTCAGTTGCTGACGGGTTCCCTGGCAGGGGCCTTGCCCTCCTTCCTCCCCAAGATCAGAACAGGCATCTGTCCCCTCACCACAGCATGGGAGCGCCTGGCCCTGCTGGTAGAAACTGCCCTCGCCGCACCCTGGGAGGGGTGATCTCCATTGTACAGACGAGGCATGGGGCGGGGAGGGACGGGATGAACTGATATGTCCAAAGGCCACATAGAGAGCCAGTGTCTGGGCCAGGAGTTGAACCCCGACCTCCTGGGTCCCTGTCCAGTGCTCTGTCCTTCCTTCCCAGAGTCAAGGGTGTGACAATGCGGTTCTGGCGGGACCCAACTGAGAGTGCCAATTCAGGACAAATTGCTCAAACAGGGCAGTCATAGCCCAAAGCTGGGGTTTTTCCACCTCTAAGGCAAACCAAACCAGCCAGACAAAGAGGACTTTGGTCTCACCCCACTGGCTAACCACAAGTCACACAAGCAATTCCCTTAGACTCTCCAGTTTCCCAGTATGACCACCAGTGCCACTCGTTATGGGGACAAATGGTTATGAAAACCAATATCCCAATAAAAGAAAAAAAGGTTCTCTCGATCCCAAAGGACCAAGCCCCAGACCCAGGTCAATATACAAATCAGATCTTACCCACAAATCACGCTGTTGCCAATCCTTTAGAATCTAAAATCTAAAGGTTTATTGATAAAAGAAAAAAGATAGAGATGAGAGCTAGAATTGGTTAAATGGAATCAATTACATACAGTAATGGCAAAGTTCTTGGTTCAGGCTTGTAGTAGTGATAGAATAAACTGCAGGTTCAAATTAAGTCTCTGGAATACATCCCCCGCTGGGATGGGTCATTCAGTCCTTTGTTCAAAGTTTCAGCTTGTAGCAAAGTCCTTCCAGAGGTAAGAAGCAGGATTGAAGACAAGATGGAGATGAGGCATCAGCCTTTTATAATCTTTTCCAGGTGTAAGAACATCTCTTTGTTCTTACTGTGGAAAATTACAGCAAAATGGAGTCTGGAGTCACATGGGCCAGTCCCTGCATACTTTGCTGAGGTACAAGGCGTATTTGCCTTCTCTCCATGGGTCAATTGTATAGCTGATGGTCCTTAATGGGCCATCAAGCAGGCTAGGCAGAGCTAATCTCAGCTTGTCTGGGATGTCACCCAGAAGCACAGCATAATTTTGAAATACAGACAGTATAGAGCCAATACTTATAACTTTAAATACAAAAATGATATATGCATACAGATAGCATAATCATAACCAGCCAACCATAACCTTGTCTTAGAGACCTTCTTTGACCTCCTTTATACCAGATTTGGTGCCACTACAGGACTTTGGTTGCAACAATGATCTATACGGTCCCAGTTCATGTCAATAACGTCACAAGGGGATATTCTCGCTCAGAGAGAAGTCAGGCGATGCCCATGTGTACGCAGGGCTGATGGCACCATCCCCTAGTCGCCTGTTCGAGCCCTGAGACGTGTGCCCTGGTGACTGACCGCAGTGCTTTCTTCCCCCTAGGAGCATGTGTACATCTACCTGCTGGATGGAGAAGCCAGGCTGACCTGCGACGACCCTCCCCACGAGCTGCCTCCCGAGGGAAAGATCAGGTAAGCCCCAGCTGTGGTTATGCGCAGCAGCCCTGTCTATGTCCGACAGCCTTGCAAAATAATCCCCTTTCTCGGGCTCAGCTGCCTTGCGCCCCTCAGGAATTAGCTACCAATGAGACCAGGTCGAAACCTTTTCACCCATTTTGGGGGACTTGAATGTGGGTCTCCTGTATGCCAGGCTGGCTGCCTCCCCACCCGGTGATAAGAGTCACAGTAACCCCTCCCCCAGCTAGAGCAGGTCAAAATGTGCTGTGTCAGCAAAGCAAACCATTTGGTGATGCGATATCAATGTCCATGAAAGATTCATGAGAATGTTTTCGCAGTGGGGGAGGGCGGAGAGCCTCATGCCCTAAGCACCCAGCTCCAGAGTTTGGTTTTGCAAACACGTTCCAAAGGTTTTGGTTTTGTTTCAACGTGGAATGGGGGGGAACCCCCCCCAAACCTCCCTTATGGCCGTGAAATGGGATGGTCGCCCTCCAGCCGGCTCCGCTGCCACCATCAGTGGCCCGTTTCGAAGCCTTAATGTAAAAGGCTAACGCCAGTGATCACTAGAGTTAAGCTTGAGATGTGGTCTCCATTCCAACCCCCTGTATTAAAACGAGTCAGCATTTTCCTGAAGGCTAAAACATCCCAGGCTCGGTCCAAGCCCTGAAGGTGAACTTGGGGGGACATGTTTGAGCCAAGTCATTTCAGCTGCTTTTTGTTGGGGGCAAAGGGAGGATCAAAGCACTTGTTTCTGTCTTTTTCAGTTGAACGTTCTGGGTTTCTTTTGAGGCACCAGAATTTGGACACTCTTAAAAACTTCAGCAATTCTTATTAGGCCAATATCATAGAATATCAGAGCTGGAAGGGACCTCAGGAGGTATCTAGTCCAACCCTCTGCTCAAAGCAGGACCAATCCCCAGACAGATTTTTTGCCCCAGATCGCTAAATGGCCCCCTCAAGGATTGAACTCACAACCATGAGTTTGGCAGGCCAGTGCTCAAACCACTGAGCTATCCCACCCCTGGATAATATAGTCCAGTCGGATTATTTTAGGAGGACTTTAAAAAAATGAGTTTGTGGTGTTGGGATTTTCTGGTTAAAGTAAAAGGCTCGTGTCATTTTAACAACGATTGAAGGTCGGAGCTCCGAACTTGATGGCTTTTGTAGCCCTCACTGCAGCAGGAAGAAAAACCTCTAGTGTGAAGAAAATGAGCTCAGGACTGGGAAAGTTCTGACCCTGGGAAGGCAGCATTGTTATGCACAGCTGTGTGCTTTTCAGTGGTTTCTAGCGGGGAGGGGAATTAACCGATGGAGCAACTTATCTAGGGACATGATGGATTTGTCGTCACTTGACATCTTTAAGTCAAGCCTGGACACCTTTCTGAAAGCGATGCTCTAGCTCAAACAGAAGTTATGGGCTTGATCCAAAGTTTACTGGGGAGGTTCTCTGCTCTGTGCTATGCAAGAGATCAGACAACTGGCCGTCGTGGTCCTGGCTGTATCTGTGAATCTAATGGGACAGGGATTTGTCTCTGTCTTTATGTCCCCTTGGGAAGTCCGTTGCCGCGGTGGCGCCAGAGTAGAGATACGGGAGTGTGACAGGGATTTCTAAAGCTCGTTTGAAAATGCACTTTTTAAAAATGTGCTTGCTCTGTGAGCACTGATCACCCTCTACTGGGTGGAATCGGCACTGCTCAGCAGTGTGTCATAGGCCCGATACTGTTACCAGCTACTGAGGTTCTCCTATGGCTGAGGGCTGGGTTTCTTTCTGAGTCGGAGGATCTGGATTCTAGCCTTGCTGCCGCTTTGCAGCTCCAATAAGAAATGATGCGAAGTGTAGCAATAACCATGGAATCCCTGGTGGCCCTGGGTTTGTTACAATATATTCTCACTTCCTCTAGTTATTCGGTTCTCTGGGGGTATTAGAATAAATCAGTGTCATTTCTTCTTGACTCTCATCTGCTGCAGAACTACTGCAGCCTGGGCTGGAGTTCGTTAGGAAGCAGCCGGCTTGCTGAGTAGACCATTAGCCAGAGATCAATGGAGTTGGTACAAAGCTTCGTTCAGTCATTTGAATTCCTCTCTCTCAGCCCGCTGCCGAACGTCTGCAGCATGAAATCACCTGCCAGCCGGTCAAATGGAGCAGCGGCGGGGAAGCGGGGGGGGCAGATTTACAAACACAACACTTTGCTTTCCCCTTTGCCCGTCGCCAGGAATTGTTTGTTTGATTGATTTTTCCATCTGTAAGGGAATTTACAGCTAATGGCAGTGAAGGTTGAGGCAGCTCTAGAGGGACAGTGAGGGGGTACTGTACAAACTTCCCGCACGGCTCTGCCAGTGCATCTCAGTCCTGATCTTCAGTTCCACCCGCTGTTATTCCAGTCCTGGCCATCTCATGGGCCCGATTAACAGCTGTTTGCTAATCCACTGCCTCACGCAGGATTCCTGTTCTGTGGGTCCTTTTAAATGTTTTCAACGGCTGGCAGCCCTCGGTAATTCTGTGGCTCCCAGCACCGGGGTATCTGAACAGCACTCAAACTCTGTGAAGTCGGCCAGTGGCCCTGTTCTCCGCATTTTAAAAGATGGGGAAATTGAGGCATGGAGAGGGGAAGTGACTTGCCCAAAGGTCACACGGGGAGTCAGTGACAGAGCTGGGAATAGAACCCAGTAAGGGGGGAAGAGTTGGCCTTATGTATGCAAATATCACTGCACCCATCACTGAAATGCAACCGCCTCTGGGGTGCAGTGTGGCAGCTGACTCATCTGCAAGGGAAAGACCACCCTCTGTAGGGCAGAAGTGGTTTTTCCATTCATTCATTAGCCCTGCTAGAGATCTCTGCATCGCAGACATTTTGGAAAAACATTCTAGTGCCTGAGTGCACCAGTGATGGGCATCCTAAAACCACCATGGACAGATGGATGGATAGGAGTCTCGTTCTGCACAGGACGGAAAGGAGGTGGCGTCCTTCATTTTTTATTTATTTATGTGTAAGGACAATAGCATGACAACAGGATTATTGTTGCTTAGGAATCTTAATCCTCTGCTTTAGTGACATCGTTGTCTCCGTGGCAACGAATTGTGATGTCAAAACAGAGGATTGTGACCTCACTGGGGGGAGAGGGAACTGAAAAGCCCAGGGAATCCTGCAGTGGAAAAGCAGGCTGGGGAGAGAAGCAGTTAGCCCTGCTGCTCTCAGAACAGATCTCTGAACAGACAGCCCGCTTTTCTCATGTGCATCCAGAACTAGTCCGGCAGCATGTCGGGGAAGCCTGTCACTCCTCTGCTCTGTGAGGCCTTCAGACCCCAGGGCTGACAACCCTGCACCTTTCGCTGGCACTAAAACGTACATCCTACTGTCCCAAAAGCACAACTTCCTTCCTTGTGCACTAGAGGAGAATCTCCATCCGCTGTCTGCAGTAGAAGATCTATGACACACATCGGGGCAGTTCCCATTCTATCCAGCAGAGGGCAGTGGTGACATAGCTACACTAGCCCATTCATTACAATACTTGTATAAACCCAACTTTGGCGATGTGAGTTCTTTCCCTCCCCCCCTTGCTTCTCGGCTCCCTGACCCCACTGCTAACTACGTTTGCTCTTTACTGCTCTGGGGAAGGAGAGGCTCTGTTAGGCAATAAGCCGAGAGAGAAGGAGGCAGAAATTAAATTGTTCCATTCAGTGACTCAGCGCTCCTCCCCTATTTAATTTCTTAGCTGCCGTATACCTCAGGCTGGCACCGGCTCCATGAAACGCTGTCACCATATGAATAAAGCCAGAGGGTTTTATAGCTCTCAGAGTCGCTGGGTTTTAAGCTTGGTTTTCTGGGGCGTTCCGGGACGGCTCTAGGGGGGCAGTGATAAATACATTACGATTGTACGGCACTCAGCTGCTAAAGGAATGCGGGCTGAATACATTCAGCATAAGAGAATGGTAACTGGAGATAAGTACCTCAGGGATGGCAGTTTAAAGATAAGAGAGAAACTATTGCAAGCTCTAACCGCTGCTGCAGAATGTCGGCTTTTCCAAAGTAAGCAGCCTTGTTGCTATGCGACGCACCGGTAGCTGTGGAACTCCCTGCGGCAGGAAATTACTGAGGCAAATCATTAGAATAGCAGCGGATCAGAGAAGAGTTGGAAAGGCTTTCAGTTCTTAGGCCTGAGCTACATGCAGATTTTGTACCGGTCTAACTACATCAGTCAGGGAGGTGGTTTTTTTACCGATACCCAGAGGGCAGCCCAGGGGTAGGCCAAGGCAGCAGGTCCAAACCCAATCTTGCCTGTGATGCGTGGCTTATACTGCAGTCTGCCCCAGGGAGCGGGGGCTAGTTGGTGACTGGCAATGGCCTTATTCTGAGGTGAGGTGGGGATAGTGGGTGGGGGTTCCCCGGGGAGGGGGGACCCTAAGACTGGGGGGTTACTGCTAGGGGGCAGCACCCCAGGTACAAGGGCACCCGGGTCCAGGGAGGGACATGGGGCCAGAGGACAGGCAGATCACCAGCCTACAGAGGGTGCTCCGGAGCTGAAATGAGCTAATTCCCGGAAGAGACCAGCAGGAGGCGCCGCAGGGGTGAGTCCACTCCTCTACAGTGCCACAGGTCTCTTTGTTGCTTTTTACAGATCCAGACTAACATGGCTACCCCTCTGATACTTTACAAAGGAGGTGAGTGGCATCACCTGCATTTCACATGTGGGGAAACTGAGGCACGGAGCGTTCAAACAGCAAGGTACTGATAGAACCAGGTCTTGGTCTTCCGGAAACAGACTCTCCCAGCTGGCCTGGCTTGTCCCACGTTCCTGGGCAGGGCAGGGAACTCAGCCTCAGTTGATCTAAAGTCCTGGTCTGGACTATGGAAGGGATCATTCCAGGATGTTCACTTCCACCCCCAGGTCTCGATGGTGCCAACTATTGTGGGACAGCAAATAAAGCATGAGGCAGGGAGTCAAGAGACTCTGTCGCTATCACTGCCTCACTCTGTGACCTTGGGCAAGTTCCTCCACTGATCCATGCCTCAGTT